CGTCGTCGTCGTCGTCGTCGTCGTCGTCGTCGTCGTCGTCGTCGTCGTCGTCGTCGTCGTCGTCGTCGTCGTCGTCGTCGTCGTCGTCGTCGTCGTTGTCGTTGTTGTCTTCCTCCCTCCTCCGTAGAATGTAAGTGGTCCGTGGTGCGCGAGAGGTGTCCTCCTCTTTTGATGGTACTCTCCTCCCTTCCCTTAACCCTTCTCTTCGTCCCCCCTTATCTTTTTTCTCACCTCCGCCGTCGCGCGGCCGCAGAGAGAGACTTTCCGCGGAAAAGCCGCGAAAACTACGTCACGAGTGACGGATTCGGTCGAAACTGGGACAAAGTGCAGTGCACTCTGGCATTGCGCTTTACCACCAGGTGTTTCTATGCCGTAATCTTCCCAGGATTGAGTAATACTCGTACCGTTGCACCTTGCTCTCTCGTACACAGCCTGAGTTATATTCGCAATTGTACTCTTTCGCGAATCGTTCGAAGGCTGACAGCGCTTGAGATCGACAGAGAGAAAAAGAGAGAGAGAGAGAGAGAGAGAGAGAGAGAGGGAGAGAGAGAGAGAGAGAGAGAGAGAGAGAGAGAGAGAGAGAGAGAGAGAGAGAGAGAGAGAGCGAGAGCGAGAGCGAGAGCGAGAGAGTATCGACGACCCCGCGGAGAGAGAGCTGACAGGTAAAGAGGCATCGAACGCGCGGATTGCGGTGCAGATGTGAGGTACCGCGAACACGACGAGCTCCCGTATGTATGTATGTATGTACGTACGTGAAACTCATATCGCGAGTCGCGATAGGAAAAACAACTTCCTCACGAAATTTTTGTCTGTTTGATGTACGGAGAAAAAAATCATACCGCGCGCGATACATACGGAGGGCGATCGAACGATCCGCGATCGTCGTGGTTTTCCATCGATTTCTCGATGTGATTGTCGTGTCTGCGTGAACGTAGTGGACGACGGTAGCGAACACATTTCATGTTATGTAGGACACGATGTCGGCCGCTCATACGGCGTATGTTCACTTATTCGCTGTCGCGAGTTTCCGTTTGGTTTTAGCTGGCGAAATATAGAACGCGCAGTGCGACAAACGATCGATTCTTACGCGTAATTCTTGGGCAATACTATCTGGTCACGAGCGCCAGGAAGAGACATTTAAATGGGATATTTGGATAGGGTTATTCGAATGTCCGAGTGTTGGAGGTTTTGACATTTATAAACATACACTGTAAATCCTCCTTTTCCACATATATATATACACATATGGTATGGTTACTTGTGATTAAAGTTGGATATATCGCACTTGTTTATTGCAGGTTAAATGACGGACTCAAGATAGTCCTTCCGCCTAGTAACATGTCAGATGGAGTTGATGGTGGTGGAGAAAACGAGGTAGACTCTCATTCCTCTTCGCATGCTGAGGCTGGAGACTCTTCCAATCACAGGGAAGAAGAAGCATTGGATGCTGACAACGAGGCAGCTCTTAATACCAATTATGATAGTAGTGATGGAGCTGTCCCTGTGTTTAGGTGAGATTCAAATTTTGCTTGTGCATCTAGATAGCATCGAACACAAATTGCAATATGCTAGAATATAATGAATGCTTTCCATTTACATGACTTCTATCGACAGCCATTTCATTAGCTATATACTAATTTAAGGTAACACACAGCTACATATTAACTTAAGATGATGTGTTAACAGAACATTTTTGTTACACCATAAAATTAAAAAGCATTTAATGTTTTAAAAGGATTACACTTTTGAAATGAATTTCATGTGTTGAATATGAATTAAAATAGATCTATTATTTTGCTGAAACAATTGCACTATTTACCACAATGATTTTCTACAGATGTGATAGATGTGACAATTATGAGACTATAAATAAGACAGCTTTCTCTGCTCATCAAGATCAATGTCTAGCAAGTGGTGAAGCTGGGGAGAGCACTGAAGGTATAGAGGGAACAGAAAATGATGGAGATGGCGAGGAGGGTCACTCAGGGATCCGGTCTCATAGAAAAATGTTCGAGTGTGATGTTTGTAATATGAAATTTTCAAATGGAGCAAACATGAGACGGCACAAGGTCAGTCTGGAAGAAAAACTATACAATATAGAAATCTATTGTATATTATATATTACATATCTTATTTTTTAGATGAGGCATACGGGGGTAAAGCCGTATGAATGTCGGGTATGCCAGAAAAGATTCTTCCGGAAAGATCATCTTGCGGAACACTTCACGACACACTCGAAAACTTTGCCATATCATTGCCCGATATGCAACAGAGGTTTCCAAAGACAAATCGCGATGCGCGCTCACTTTCAGAACGAGCACGTAGGCCAACACGATATGGTCAAGTCGTGTCCTCTCTGTAACTATCGAGCGGCGACTATGAAATGTCTTAGGTTGCACTTCTTCAATAGGTGAGCTATGACTTCTACATATTTGCATTTTGTAAATTAATAACTAAAAGGAGTTTTCCGTCGACCCATTTATTCTTTTTCTCGCATCCACAGACATGGGATAGATTTAGATAATCCAGGACCAAATAGCTCTACGTCCATAATGAATAGTTGCACGCCCGGGGAGGCCATGCCATCGGCACCCTTGTCTGACAGTGGAGACAGCACTGGAAATCGTTCAACCGACAACGCTACACCTCCCATGCATTTCCTCACGCCCCATGTGGAGATATCCATTCCTTATCCCGAGCAAGCTGCTAATCAACGAAATCCGAGTCCTGCCCCGTTAAACGGAGATAGTCCCAATAGCCCCCAAAGCGCCGATAGTAATAGCAACGCGCCAAGCAGTAGCCATCATCAATTACCTATCAACAGCAGTACCATCCATAGGTGAGCAGATCGAACCATGAACGAAATTCGTAAACAAATTACTCACTGTAACTAATGATTACTTGTCAATTGTCATTATAGATTGTTTCTTATCAAAATAATTTTCTATTTGTGCATAATATACAAGATGAGATGTCTAAAGCGCGATAGGTGAATATCTTGACAAATATTGAAACAGAGAAAAGTTTTATGGGACAAAATTAGTGTTGCAAAGGTTACATTTTTTGGAGATATATTTATTCTTCTTTATATAAGAGTATATCAAGAATTGCATTGCATTTGTGCACATATTTAAAAATATATAATTTTATTTAAAAAGCAATGATAGCCTTGAACTATCCTTGATACATTTGTATAAAGAAGATTTTCAAAAAATATAATTTTGAAACTTACTTTACTTGATAAGATTTTTATTTTTGTTTTTATTTCTATTTCCATTTTTATCTTATTTTCTGATTTTTATTGAATCAAATTATTTACATTATTTGCTTTTCTGTTGTCATTCTAATTTTTAGTTTTATATATTTTCTTCTGTTATCCAATTTAGTATGGTATCATTGGACTTCGTCAATTTATATTTTAATAATATAATTTTTATAACGTAATATATACCTGAAACATTCTTAGAAAATTTTCCTTAGAACGATGATAAAGTATCCATCTATAAAATCTTTTTCTATTATTTTTGGAGATATTGACTTGTTACGTTTTACATGTCTCACTTTTACATTATCCTGATAAGATCTCAGTTATACTTCCAAACAATTGTCTGTTTAAAATCGCGAATTTTAAACTCAGAAAGGTGAACAATTAGTCGTGCTCCAAATGCATCGTGTAAATTACGCAAGAATCCATATTTTCCTCAGGAATGTAAGTGGGGGAGACGAAGCCATTACACCGTCGATCTCCTTGATTCCCATCAAGCAAGAACCAAACAGCAATGGTATGGACGACACAGGAGCGACGTCGAGCAATCTCCCGTTGCCGTCTCTGATTAAGGTGTCGCCGCTGAAGTCGCTGCTGCGGGACGACTTGCGCCGCAAGCTCTCTACTAGTTCCACAAACAATAACAACAACAGTAGCAATAACAGCGGTGCGAACTCCAATCTGCATTCAAGGGGCGAACCACCCACCTCGACGAGGCCAGATCCCCGCACAAGTGGCCTCCAGTGTACACACTGTAGAATTACGTTTCCGGATCAGACGTTGTATTTTCTCCACAAAGGTTGTCACAGCGAGAGTAACCCATGGAAGTGCAATATATGCGGGGAACAGTGTTGCAATTTGTACCAGTTCAACTCGCATTTACTGAGCAAGAGTCATCAGTAGCGTGAGACGAACATACCTGCGACTACTTTGAGTCTTTCTTTATTGTTTTTCTTCTTTTTCTTCTTCGTTGTCGTCTTTTTTCTTTTTTCGTTAAACAACAGCGGCGAGAGATTGAATTTGTGCGTATGTAATGTATGTATGTACGCTGTACATACGTTCAGTGTTCAGTAGCATGAGGGTGCACATATTTTCTGTAACGTCCAGACATACTCATCGCCGAGAGTACTTTCAAAACCGCATACGCCCGTTTCTTCGTAATATATGATAATGAGTCAATTGTAAATTTTTTCAGCATTCAAGAGAGATAGAGAGAGAGAGTATGTCTGTTCTTTCAGAAAATAATATACAAAGCGCGACAAATTGTGCCTTTTCACTAAGAAGAAAAATCGAAAAAGGAAAAAAGAAATTGCCAACACATACTCGTCCATCATACTGTTGTACGAACTATCCGTCCATAGGGCTTTATTGAGATATATTCCGAGCTCTGTCATTAGTCTTAAATTAGATAAATAAGTGTGGAGAACAACGACGGGGCTAATCGCGCGTTGCCTCGTCGAGAAGAGAGAGAAATCATGAGAGATTTAAAAAGCAGCTGTACGTCGTACCTTCATCGTCGAAGGAAGTACGTTAACCAGTTCACTAGTAATTATTCATATATGAGCGAAAGAAAATACTACAACTGGTAATAATTCATGTATGAACACCATGAATAGCTTTGCCAATTTGAAAATTGGCTAAAATGAAATAATTTGATGCAATTCGTTGAACGAATTTATATCAAATTTGATGTACCCATTTCGAACCACTGTCTATGAATCCGAAATCAAATTTGAGAAATTCATAATGGCGGATCCAATATGGCGGCGCCTAAACACTTGTTAATTTTTGAAGAATATTAATTAAAATTGATGTTCTCATTTGATTTTATATGAAATCTTATCTTTATAAAGAGTTCTTCGGGTAACTGGTGATGAGTTTGGGATAGAAATTCCAAAATTCAAAATGATAGACCAAATATGGCGATTCCAAGTAACTAATTTTGTTATTCCATTATGGGGAAGATCATATTCGATATACTCATATTTTAAGTTGCTGACGATGAATCCAGTCGAGATCGCAAAATGACATTCAATATAGTGGTTTCTGATAACTAACGATATTCCATTATAGTAATTTCATTACTCTTACCTTCATTATTAGCGGATGAAATATATTAAAGGAAACTACTTCATTACTGAATGGCTCTGGGTGGAAATCTTGGATTTATGACAGTCGTTATTTATGACCAAAAAAACATCGAGTTTGATATATATCCATATCCAATAGAATATCAAAGTTAGGGCCAGAGCACAGATTTCTGCATAACGCATAATACACAACGCATAAGAGAATCAACAAATCAGAGTTCTTCATTTCTGTCCTGAGGAGGAAAATGAAAAAAAACTAATTGGTTTATTCTCTTATGCGTTATGTATTATATGTTATGCAAAAGCCTGTACTCTTGCCCTTAGTCACTTGAAGCCGCCATATTGGATTTGCCATTTTGAATTTTAAAACTTCGACCCTAGATTCGTCACCAGCGACCTAACAAAAAACCTTGTAATTAAGCTACTATATAAAATATGAAATTATTTGCTCTTGCCAGTTTTAGCACAAAATGTTGATTTCGGATTCAATAACAAACAAAACTGACCTTTGTCAATAGTTAACAATTTGAAATAAATAGATAAAAATATTTAGTTCACGCCGTTAATGCGCAGCATGAGCGCTTGAAATGAATATGACGACACGAACGCAGCCTCGACCTGAGGTCCCTTTTAGGTCCCCGTGATATAGAGAAAAACGTAAGCAGTAAAATTTCAGCAATAAGCCAATTGGATAATTACATATGAGAATTATTGACAACGTAAGATCATCAAGTTACCATTTCCGATAGTAATTAATCAGTTTATTTACTACTCAGAACTTACTGCTTACACTTTTCTGTATGTTATAGCTTTTACAGATGCAAGTAACAAATTGGGAGAACGTCCAGTGTTTGTTAATAGCATATCCATCACGTATCCTATTATATACACACAGATATTGTTACATTACAACAATATCTCATGGTCAGCGGTGCATTCGAGACATCGTCAGATCATCTGTTAACTTTTTTTCTTTTTTTCTTCTTTTCTCCTCTCCTTTAGGTAGGAACGTATCGTGTGTGTATAGCAAACCTGATGAAAATCGGAAAATAATAATGTACAGAGCACAAAAGCCAGCCAGGTGTGCGTTACTATTATATACGGTAGGCAAGTTCGAGAGATCTGATTTTTGGCCGAAGATCGTCCCTTTCGCTATATATACCAAAACGGTATGCCGATACCGCTTTGCTTCGATCAAGATCACTTCTCTTCACCTTTTGCCTTCGATTCAATGAATATTTTATATATAAATATTTGTACAGAGAAAAAAGTATTAGAAGAAAAAGCACGGAAGATAAGAAAATAGAGAGATAGCAAATATATATATATATATATGTGTATGTGTATGTGTACACACACACACACACACACACAACACACACACACACACAAACACAAACACACACACCACACCACACACACACCACACACACACACACACACACACACACACACACACACACACACACACACACACACACACACACACACACACACACACACACACACACACACACACACACACACACACACACACACACATTCACATGTACGCGCGAACACTGCTGTAAATGGTTGTAGTTATTTAATAACTATTCTGTATATCGCGTATATAGTATTTAATACGATAATAATTATTTATTAGAATATAAGTAATTTATTATTGCTTTGCATTCCAAGAGACGAGATACACGGGGCTACGATTAATTAAGCGAATGTCTTAGCGTTAACGGTGCTTTTTTAATAGAGTCGATTCGCGACATGTAATTTCCAATGAGCTAATTCTTTGTCTCACATATACATACACATATGTAACAAAAAGGAAACAGAGATCCATCGCGAACAGATATCAGATACGCGAGTAAACGAATGCACGAATTATCTTGATCGATATACGTAAGATTTCGCCGTCACGAAAACTATTTTATATGCAGAAAGCACGTTCATTATTAGACACGTTCGTCATTTGCACTTTTGATCCTTATTAAAGCATCATTGACGTACAAATCTTTTTAGATACCTTTACAAAGCCACGCGCGTGCGTGCGTGTTCGCTGTACTCTCGCACGTATCCTCGGCGGAATCGTGAACAAAAAAGTGCCTGATTGGGATAACGTCTCTTTGAGAACAAAAAGGAGAAACGCGTGTGTTAATAATTCGTAATAAGAGAGGAGAAGAAGGAGAGAAAGGAGGAGAAGAGCGGCGTCAAAAGAGAAGAGAGACGAAAGATTAGAAAGATGGAAAAAATGTACGAAAGGTGCGATTTTGCTCGAACTGTCTCGTGTTGAAAAATGTGAAAACGGACCAGGAGCATACCTGTGTTCACCATATGTGCTTACTGCTTAGCATATAGCGACGCCTTTATACTGTGATCACGTTTACAAAGAAAATAGTCATAAAGCTAGAAGATAGACGGTAAAGGTATATCTTAGGGCGGCGAGAGTACGACGAACACGATAATTCGAGTTGTAAGACAGACGTTTAGACACTAACCATGTATCCACCTACCCATCCACCCACTTCCCATCCTTTCAATTGTTCTACCCTTTGATTGTCCCTCCCTCTTTTCCCTTATTTATACACGACTTACGGATAAAGATATATTTAAATCGATAAGAATGGAAAAAAATATTGTTGATGTTATTACGGTGTAATGGGTACAATCTAAATACATAAATATTATGTATATAAGGAACAGAACACGGCAAATTTTTATCATACATGTTTATACTTGTCTACTCTGTTCTTTGCTCACTCACCACTCGTTGATCGTTTCCTTCATTTACAGGGTGGCCCATTTTAATCAATAATCGGGAATATTTCGTCAGGTAAGCCAGATCGCGAAAAATGTTTCAAACAAAAATTGTAGGGCTCAGAGGGGGACATTTGATGGTGACCTTTGTAAAACTAGGCATCGGAACATGTGAATTAAAATTAAGTATTAGTGTGTTATTTTGACACATTAGCTGACGTTAAAGCAGTAAGTGCGTCAAAATAATTCGTTTTCTGTAACAAAAGTGTGTTTTAATAACACACTTGTCTGTAACACACCATGTATGTAACACACTACAGAAACGTATTACTTTTCCTCAACAATCCCGTGACACATGTAGAGTGTGTTATTTAGACACAGAATGATAATCGAAATCATAGACATAGTATATCTAGACTGCGCGTTCTCTCAAATTTCAAAAGTGGAAGTATAACTCTCGTAGAAAAGGAAGCATTCTGTTTTTACTGTTCGTTCTCTCTCGCACAGTCCCGATGGAAAGAGAATAGGGGCGGTGGTTACTGTACAGCACTGTACAGCAACTGCCTCCCCTATACCCTTTCCATCGGGACTGTGCGAAAGAGAACGAACAGTAAAAAGAGTGCTTCCTTTTCTACGAGAGTTATACCTCCACTCCTAGAACACGCAGTCTAGATATACTATGTCTATGATCGAAATACACTGAGAACACACTTGGATGATATTGGATAACACACCAAGTCACGTAACACACTAGTAATGTGTTCATGATAACACACTAATTTTGTTAACACACGTTTAAATGAACATACATATGTGTATTAAAAAAAATACATGTGAGAAAAATACAAATCGACAAAATCGGCGATTATTTGCCTTCAAAAAAGTATTGTATCTGTTGAACAAATTAATGTAATAATAACTTGCTTTCATATTATTACCCATACAGCACAGATCATTGTAATTACATTGCCAAAACGTTGCAACATTGCACGTTGCAATACAATATTGCAAAGAGATTGCAGAGATATAGATTCGAAAAATACCAGCATACTTGTAGCAACATTACAGTAATATTAAAGGAACATTGCAAGAGCGAAATTGAATATACAACAATATATTTTAATAATAAAATACTCTCATCCGGGTGGAGTTTACGAACGTGGCTAAATGTGATAATCACAATACTTAACATGAATTCATATTAGCCCGGGAACATAATAGTATAGTAAGTTTTAAGCCTTAAGGAATTATCCAATCCTAGTCGACTTTTACAAGAATAATCGGATGAGATTAGCCAAATTCTTAAGGCTCAAAGTTTACTACACCTATTGTGTTCCCGGCCTTAAGTATTAGAGGATCCCTATTTCGAGCTATTGCGAATACAGCGATTCCGTTGTGATTAGCGTATACGTGCTTCCAGTTATTTCGAAGAAGAAAGGAAAGAATAGTGATTCTGAACAGCGATCCACAGTGTTTTTTGCTGCACAAAAGAAAAAGGTAAGCACATTGTATCTATTAATGATAATAGAGAATCACGTCTTATACTCATAGATAGGGTTGCCAGATGTCCTCCTTTGGGGAGGATTTCCTCCTTTCCGGCCCCCTGTTCTCCTGTCCTCAGAACGCTATTTGTCCTCCCCAAACGCACATCGATGAGCTTCTCTTTTTTTTGCTCATCAAAATTTGCCGTACCCGGTGACCTTTCTTTTCCTGTGGATCTTATATGTTTAGTAGTTACAAAGTCTCTAAATACTCCTCAACCTCCTACTGGTAATATTGCCTAGTAACGTTTCTTACCCCTCTCCTATTGGGCATTTCACGCCTGCGTCGGACATGTGAATTAGATATATGACAGTATGCCAAAGTAAAGTGCAATACTTTGTTTATAGAGAGC